TTACAATGTGTGCATTGAGAATAACTGTTGGTTGTCTATAGTGATAATATTTCTGTATAGTTTGTAGTGAGAATGTGTGTGTGTGTGTGTGTCTATGGTGAGAATGGTGTCTGGGTATTCAGTAGTGAGAATATTGTGTGGGTGGTCTGTAGTGAGGATATGTCTGAGTTGTCTTGGGGAGATTACAAGGTCTTTATAGTCTCTAGTGAATGCAATGTGTAGGTAGTCTGTAGTGAGTATAAAATAATGGTAGTTTATGGTGAGATTACATAGTCTAGGAATATTTTGATTGGTTTACAATGTTTAATAGTTTTTTACAGGAATAGTGTGTGTGTGTGTAATATGCGATTAGAGTTTTACAATTTAAACAATAACACTGTCAAGATCATTTTAAGTTGTGAATTGTATATTATTCGTGGAATGTTCACAAAAGGCACTGAAAACTCGCAGTATAATCTGATAAGAGAAACTTTTTTTTTAGCTTGTACTATCTCTTCAGCATGGAAAAAGAATTGTAATACTTACTAGCTCACACACACATTCCTGTGAAGTTCTGCAATTACAAGTGGTTGGAAAATGTTACAGATTGGGCTCTACAAGCGTAGCCACACATTAGTGTGTATTAAAACAAGGTTGTAGAATAGAAATTTCCAAATTTAAGAACAACAACATTTTACAACATCAAAGCTGGGTCAGTGATCTACTAACTGTTGCTGAGATCTTTTTTCTGTTATAGAGTAGGTTATACCATAACTAACCCCATATCAGACAGAAAAGCCCATGCTGCCCTTTTTGTGTGATGATCTGTAGCATATGATTATGTATTTGATGTCAGAGTAGTTTTCAACTATTTATTTTAATCTACATTGTTGATTTAGCAACAGTTCATGGTAAATACCACATACAGTATAGAAACATAATGAAAAAATTGTAGATATGCATTTTAGAGGTCCTAGATGTTATGCAATATGCAAAGTATATAATGAACAAAAATATTTTTATTCTTCACATGAACATTACCATGCTCCCTGATATGACAGAATCTGAATCGGAGTGACGTTGTCAATTCATAGACATACCTTGAGTACAAATACCTCTGTAACTCATCTGATTTTTTGTGTACAACAGGCTTGTACATTTCACTAAAACTTTGCCACATTTTGTGTAGAAAGACTTAAGGAAATTTGGAATTATAGTCAACATTCTTTTTACAATACAGAGTTAGTTCAATGTACCAAACCTATGTACTTTCAATTAAGCTACATCCAGCTTATAAAACAGTTTGCCTTACGTGGATGTGGGGCATTGAGCAGAATATGAATTAAAGAAATCAGTGAGTAAAATGGAAGATTGTATTTTGTATTGACTGGCTTGGATTCTTGCATAATATGTCCAACTTGCTTGAAATGACTCTATTAAAGTATTTTCTGGCAAGGAACATGTTCTGTCTAGAACCTTGAAAGTGATTAGTAGACAGAGTTGGCTGTAGCAATTGTGTGAGGGAAGTACTGAAGACCATGGCTATAGAGAGACTTGAGGGAGATGTTGGAGAATATATTAACCTGCTAAGACAGTTCACCAATATCATTGAAGCTGCTGTTCCCCAGAATCTCAGCTCATTTCAGAAATTCAGTCTCAAAGAAAGAGTGTAGGGTTTATATACCGCTTCATGTAAATATGGGGTAAGATGCTACCAATTCAATGCTATGGGGGAAGTTGTCAAAATCTTGTTGCTCCTTTCTTATGGTCACCCCAATGTGGTAAATGGGTTTTCTGTAAACAAGGAAATTGAAATTGAGAATATGTACAACACATCATCCATGATCATGTGGATAGCATTTTGAAGGTTGATATCTTTAAACAACGTTTTACTTCAGCTCCATCTAGCAGATGAACATAAAACCTAAATATTTAAAGTGGAAGAGAGCAATTATTTCATGAAGTGCAAGAGCTCAAGATTAAAAAAGAGAGGAGGATTAAAACTAATATTTATTATTTGTGCAGATAATGTAGAAAGTGGAAAAGGTAATTCATTTTATTTTTACCAAGATTAGTTCAGATTGCATAATTTCAGCTCTTCAGGCTTATTATTACAGTAGATACAGCTAGGTCTGAAGTGGCAACATTAAGTATAGCAGTGCACATATATACTTGTATATCTTGGATTTTTTTAGCTTTCCTGAATGATAGTTACTTTTAACAAATAGACTTAGCAAACAACTGGTAAGTTTTGTTTATACTTAATGTTTAACATAGATATTATGTATTGTAATATATTATAACAATTAATGCATCATATATAATATGTAGTAGCATGGGAATTGACAAAGGCAGAATTTTTTGTTTGGTAAATTTCCCTTGTCATTTAATAAGGGGAAAGGACAGATGCTACTTAAATTGAATTGGGTATTATTACTAGAAGAGCATTAAGGAGATTAGTGAAGGGAAGAAAGCATGTGCCAAAATTTCTTGTAAAATTAGTAGTAGAAGTAATAATATTAAAATCATTTTATTTAACTTGGGTACTTGGCTTTAAATAAAAAGGTAATAAAGTGGATAATTCTGGCTGGTTGCCTCTCTGTGGTTGGTGATTCATAATTATGGATGGCAGCACACTAACTAGACTGTGCATTGACAAACATGCTGCAACAAGACTCCATAACTAGCTGGAGAAAGTCTGTGCTTTGGCTAGTGCCAAACTCCTTTAGCATGTAAATCATACTAAAGCAGTCAAAATACATTATTCAACTAATACATCATGTTATTTTGTGTATGTAGTTTGCAAAGTAGCAACATATGTTATTCTCGGATCTGTAGAGTAGGTACTGAATAAAATTGCTAAAAATCTACAAAGCTATTTTAGTTTTTGAAAGTTTCATTATATATAATATATTAAATCAAAAACATTACAAAGAGACTCATAAGTCAAAATTAATTTTTCCATTACCAATCATTCTTAAAACTGTTAATGGAAAAAATTGCCTATTTACAATTATTGTATTTGTTAGCTTTAGAATTATGGTATTCTTCTTTGTCCATTGGAGCAGTCATTTATCTCTCAAAACAAATATTTGCCACATGGTTTCCAGTGAATTTTCATACTCTACCATTTGTGTTAATATGAAAATAAAAACATAATTAATAGAATACGTTTTTCTACATCTGTGGAAATAATTTACCTGTTTGCGTTTACTAATAACTACACTAAATATAGAAATTATTACATCTTGTATATAATAATGGAATGTTCTCGCTTAACTCTTAACTTTTTTTAAGTAACTTTTAAGTATTTGGGCTTAAGGTTATACTTTAATACAATCTCACAACCCATCACACTGTATGTAACAACCACATTTTAGGTTGTAACATTTTAGCATACATAGAATACTCACTGCATTATAAACAAATACCAGTCACTGGCTTTGGAAGGCTATGAGGAAAAATTAAAACACTAAATAGTCATTGTTTACAAAACTACTACCTGTTTGGAGGTTATAAGAGAATTTAACCAAATGATAAATAAGTGAAACACATGCTTCTATAAGTGAAGTTTTATGAGTCTATTTGAATTCTTTTACAAAAAAAAAGATAAAGCAAATTTCTGTTCTAGGATAAAAAAGTTAAAACAAAATTATATTTCATACACAAGATCAAGTTCATGTGACTTATGTTTCAAAAGGATATTTATGGTAGGAAAATATTGAATCTTAGAGAGAGCCTGTAAAAGTTCATGAAATATGTATTTTATTAGAAAGCTAAAGAAAAGCCCCTTTTCATTCTTCATTTCTATTTTACTTTATTTATATTCAGTTTCTCAAAAAAAAAGTTGTATATTGTGGCTGTCATTAAAACCATGTTTAACATGGAAATGTTCCCAGAACACATTCGGTATAAACTGTGGATGCATCTTCCAATTAGAATTAGTACATTTATCACATTAACAAGCCTTTGTAGTTCACATGATCTAATTGTTTTTAGTTTCAAAATTATGTATCTCTGAATCTATAAAATTGAGCTTTTGGACATAAATAGTTTTTGATATGTTAGTGATGATATCTATTCACTGTATTTTTATGCAGGTTTAGTAAAAAATGATGAAGTATATTTAGAAGTATTTACTGAATAAAATTGAATTTTATGTAATACTACTACTGTGTTTAACATTATATGTCGCATTTATTCCAAAAGTTAATCAGCTACTCAGAGATTTGTAAATAGAAGTTTGCTGAGTTTTGTTGATCTGTCACCTAAGTGAGAAAGTAATTAACTATTCTTTCTATTTGAAATTTAAACATTTTCAATACCAATATGTAGATTACTAATGCTACATTGCTTTGTGTTATATAAAAATTATAAGTTTATTCTCACCATATCTGGTAACTGTGCATTTAATTTTAATAAACATAGGACCTTGTTTTTTGTTTTTTTACCAAAATAATTAGTATGTAACCAAAAGATTGAAATTGTTCACTCTAAAATTGCTAATTTTACAGAAAAATATTAAAGTGTACAACTCTTACTTAAAGTAAAAACAGCTTAAAGCAGTATCATTTAAGAAAGTGTTAGACATGGTTAATGCAATTCCACAATCAACAGCAATTTAACACTTTTTTATTTAAATCAAATAAACATTTTGAAGACTTTTGGCAACCCATAAACCACACTGTCTGGACAGGAGACACCACTTGCTATTCAGTAAGAAAAAATCCAAGTGAAAAGCTGTAAACTTGGTAATACTAACCTAGACCTAACTTTACTAAGTTTACAAATTCACTTTTATATGGTAGTATGTAAATTGTGCAAAAAATACTACAGACTACAACCAAACAGTTTATTTGCTATGAATAAATCTGAGTGAAGTAAATATAATGCATTTTTTTTTGCAGTCTCTTTGTACTTTTAGGTATTCCAGATATATTCAGAATAGGTAGCTTGTAATATATTAATGGAAAGTTTTTATAAATTTTTTCTACTTTAATAAGTAACATTAATTTTTTTAGCGGGCAAAGGTGAGTTGTCTCTTCAGATCCGCCCAAACTTCCTTGTCCGTTTCACTCCTGCCTTCAAACACAAATAAATCAGGTAGGTACTGGTATGATCTACAGGTTTTTCCTTGTTACTGATCCTAGCCCACATGATTGTTTGCACTTTACTGAGTAAACAAAATGTTAGAAAGGTTTTTTTTTAATGCTTTAAAGGAAAGTTTAAATCTGAATGTAAAAACAAAACTGCTGTATTTTTCATTGTAATAAGTATTTATATATGTATGTATGGATATATAAATAAAAGGTTGTACATAAATGTGTTCTTTGTTTTGTGGCCATTGAATGTAGATAGGAAATTTAAGCATTTAAAATACAGTAGCCCAGAAATACTACAGATGTATAGTTTATGGCTAGAAGAGAACAAGGATTTAGTGAACAATACAGAAAACTCAAATGGTGAAGAATGAAACAAGTAGTCTGATATCCAGAAAGATATATATAAGTATTGTTATCATCTTAGTTAGGTCTTTAAGTATGATTTTTAACTTGTTACTTTCTTAAAAAAATAACTAAATTATACTTCTTTTGTTAATGAGTTAAATCTCTAGTAGCCTTTTCACTTAAAAGTGTTCTGTTTCAAACAATTACAGTACAGTTGATGAGGTGATTAGGTTTTAACTGTAAAGAAGCTTTTAGTCCATACATTTTGAATTTTTATTCTGCTTATATGAAAAAAACATTTCATAGAGTCAATTGTCTCTCATCATCTAGCCCAACTGACAAGCTTGGTATTCAATGAAAGGCGTTTAGAGCAGTGACTTGTGGAAAACAAAAATCTGAAATGCTATTTTTTTTTTTTAATTTCCAATGGACAAACTAAGATGACAAAACATCTGCAACTAAGGTGATTTTATCATACATTTTGGGCTATTGACTGCATCTGTTATATCCAAGAAAAATTTATGTTGCCTAATACACTAAATAGAAATTCATTTATTTATATATATCTAGCAGATAATTACAGAAAGTTGATGCCCATGGTATTAGACCCATTATAATGTGGCTAACTGTGAAATAAAGTTGCAGCATTACATAATATTTTAAGTGAGAAAACATTTGTTGTGTTTGAGTATAGATAGTGTTTTTAATGTACAGGTTGAAAAATATTACAAAGAATGGTAAGATGTTAACAGGATAGTTTGAAGGATGTATTTATAGCTAGTAAACATACCTCTGCTAGTTATCACAATATTCACAGTACATTTCTAAATGGCTTGGAAAATACGCTTAAGTGTTACTTGTTTACATTTTAAAGTAGGAAGACTTCAACACTAAGTGTTATTTTCAAATAAGCCTTCATAGTTAAGAATAAGATGTGGAAATACATTGTACATTTAATACATCAAGGGAAGTCTTTATAGATGCTTCTTTACCATCCATACCCCTGGTGGCTCACTGAGCGGTAAGTATGTTGGCTTAGAACCCATATTGTGTAACTTTGTTTCACAACATATAAAAATCTTTAGCTTTACTCCAGATAGCATTTTAAAGAACGAATAGCATTAATTTTACTTTAAATCAATTATACGAGCTCTTCTATGTCACCCGCATACTTTCACGTTTTTGTTAACTTTAGAATTTCAATTCGAAATTTGTGTGATAGTAATGCTGTGAATAATTAAAGTAGTGTTTCGCTTTCACGTATAAGGGAATTATTGTGTGTCAAGTGTCTATTGTATTAGCGTCGTTTGTTGAAATCGTATGTAAGCAGTTTTTTTGTTTTTTAATCAGTATTCATTATGAGTTACATGTATATAGCACACTAAGTGCAGTTTTTACGTCTTACAGTATCGGTGAGTCAAGCAAGAGTCCATTATCAGAGAAACAACTTGATTGTGTAGCCTAAAATATGTAGTTAGGCCCGAGTCCGATATTATTTGTAAAAGTGAAATATTTTTTCAAGTGGCTGATTAGTTATTTACGGGTTGTCAAACCATTTTTTGCTCGGTCCTCCTTTGAAAATATTTCAGGTTGTGATAACTACACCTCTTCACACACAAAGGGAAAGCTGATTACTGTACGTACTCTAAAATATCCTTTATCGCATTATTTTCATGATCTTTCTATCCTCCTAAAATAGTCTTGCGAATTCCTTTATGTCGCAGAAAACATGAATTATCTACTGGTAGATGTAAGTTGTTAAAACTTAAAATTAGTATATACAAAATCAAATATATATAAACATTCTAAATATCTAGGGCTAATTAAAATCATACTAGGTTTCTTTTTAAAGAGAGCAAAGTCCTTTTTGCTAACATTAGTAAGACACAACCTTTTATAAAAATAAATTGATAATTTTAATTAATATCGATAACACAGGCCTGCGAATTGAAACTTCATAAAAGTTGTTTTGGTTTTAATAACGGATTTCCCATAATTCAGCTACGCAGATTTCGAAAAATAATATTCACTTCTTTTTATCTCGTAAGGATTTTTTGTGAATCAGGAAGAAGAAAAAACTATTACTTAGATCAAATTATTATTTCGTTTACCACAATGAGCATTTTTTATTATTATGTTTTGTTAA